GGTATACCAGCTCAAATTGAACAAAGCAAAGCGAGTATTTCCCCTGTGGTTGATGGAAATTCTAATGGAACAGTAACAGAGCTGACTATTAAGGGCATGCAGAAGGATCTAGTCAAAGAGGCTACGACAGATCAACTTGAAGCTGCTATTGGACCTAGTGTACAGTTAATATGGATCCTAAAGTGGTGAATCCTGTAGATCGAAGACCAGAGTCAAAATCATGGTCTAAATTGTTTCAGCAAAATTGAGTAGCAACTCATGGAATGGCTCTTAGGTATGTCCCTCCTCAAATTATAGAAGGGCAAACTGTGGTGAAACTTGAGATACAGGATGTGAAAGAAGCAGAAGAGAGGTGGAGTGCTGCGATGATAGCTTACATTGTGGGTGATAATCTAGGATATAATGCTATGAAGAGGTATGTTGCTTAACACTGGCTTGATGTTACTGAACCAGATCTATTTCTTCATGAGGATGGGTATTATGTGATAAAATTCCAAAATCTATCTGATATGCATAGAATTTTTATGCTGGACCTCACACTATCAGGAATAGGCCAATAATCCTCAAGCCATGGACCCCACACTTAGATCTAAGTAAATAGTTCTTAACTGATATTCCACTATGGGTATTTTTTCCTAAATTGCCAATGAGTTGCTGGGGGAATGATGCTTTGAGTAAAATTGCTTGTGCCATTAGGAAACCTTTATTTGCTGATGAATGTACTACCAAGCAAACAAGAATTTCATATGCAAGGATGCTGATTGAAGTAAATGTGACAAAAGCAATGCCTACTAAGATTATGGTGATGCATCCTACATGAAGGATGTTCCAACAGGAGTTGATATATGAGTGGAAGCCAGTGTACTGTGACAAATGCCAGACTATTGGTCATGTATGTCCTACCCATCAAGGGCCAAAAGATCAAAAAGGAGGAGCAACCAAAGAGAAGAAGAGAGCCAAAGAAAGTAACACATAAATGGACAACTAAAGGACCTATCAATAATGCAGCAAGTAATACAGAAAATGTGCAAAAAGGAACAAATGGTGTGGAGACCCCTAAGGCAGATGGAGCAACTGATAAACAAAATGGGATTGGCCAGTGCAGACAAAATAGACAAGTCATACTCAAATGGATGGAGGTACAGAGGACAATGGACCAGCTGCAATAGATAAAGGCAAGAAGCAAGTATTAGACTTCAACCTTGAAAATTTCCCTATGCTAACTCCTTTATCTAGCAAATATGGTTCAAAAAGTGGAACAACAAGTACACGTGGAAGCTCTACCCTGCCTCATGATAGAGATGGGGGAACTAAACTCAATTAATGAGGTGGCTAATATGGAATGTCAGGGGTATTAATAAGTGGTATAAGAGGAAGGAGCTGAAAAATTATTTGAAGACTAGGAACATCAAATTTGCAGGAATTATTGAAACAAGAGTAAAGGAGCATAAAGCTAAAGGAGTCAGTCAACACATTGCCCCTGGTTGGGAGATACTTCATAGCTATAATGCTGCAGTTAATGGTAGAATATGGGTAATATAGGATACTAGTCACTACTTAGTAAGGCTACTTAAAGCAGAAGCACAAGTTATTCATTGTGTTGTTAAAAATATTAGAAAGGATCAGGAATATGCAGTATCTATAGTCTATGGATACAACACAGTTGAACAAAGGAAGCTGTTATGGGAAAACCTTAAAGAGATGGATCAAATGACATCCATTCCATGGGTGATTGGAGGGGATCTTAATGCTGTTCTACAGTTACAGGATAGGATACATGGAAATCCAGTTACTATGGCTGAAACTCAAGATTTCAGCAAGTATATCCAAGAATTAAAGCTTAATGAGTTGACTTGGGAAGGTGAATATTATACTTGGTCTAATAAACAAGATGGTTGTGACAGGATATGGAGCAGAATTGTCACGCCCCAACCTTGGGAGGCGTGGCTGGCACCCGGTGATGCACTGGCCTGAGCGAACCACTCTGTAACTCATTCATTCCTTTTGTAACTATCATGGGCCAACATGACAACTCGTAACGTACAATTGTAAGTGAGCAAATGTTATATCAATGAACCTTCGTTCATAAAACATGAATACATATGGGCCGTCAAGGCCTCTGACATACTGTACATAATAAACCTGTGTCTACTAAGCCTCTAAGATTATTTGACATAAAATGGGACAGGGTACCAGCCTACCCAAAGTCGGTAGTAAAACTCTGACACGATGCCTCATAGACTCGGCTGCACTCCAAATGAGGTGGAGTCTTACCGATCCTTCGCTGAATGCCAATCTCGTCTACTATGAGGGCTCGTCAAATTGATTGTCCATACCTGCAGGCATGAATGCAACGTCCCCAACAAGAGGACGTCTGTACAAATAATGTACTGAGTATGTAAGGCATGTAAATCAGTATATAAAGAACATGGAAGAAATATGGAGTAAATGACTCAACCTGTAAGCCTGGATAGATCTGTAAATCATGAAATATTTATAATGTAATGCATATGCATATAAATGTCATGTAATGCATAGGTCTGTACGTACATAACATCATCAAGCCTCTGAGTGCATTCCATCATATTATCTCGGCCACTGTGGACAAATCATCAACGTATACCAGCAGATCTGGTGGTGGTGCGTATATAGCGCCATAACCTTCCCATATCCCATATACATATATACATACATATATACGCGTATATAACACCGTCAGGTCATGGGTCAATGTATATGTATAAATGAATGCAATGCATGAGAAGTACGTCAACAAAATCTTTTGGAGCGTCATAAGACCATTTTGCCTCTGATTAATATCATGAAATATACTTTATCAACTTACCTATTTTTTAGACCCATGAACAGACGATAGAATAATAATTCACATGGGGAATCAAAAATATAGACACCCCTAGTATTTCTATGAATAGAGTCATTTATGGAATTTGTGCATTTGCTTGTTTCGTTCGTGTCGTATAGATCATGCCAAAAAGAAAGAAGGGATAGCCTTAACATACCTAGAGTAGGAAAAATCCGTATGATGTTCTTGAGAAAGATTGCACCTGTGCTTCTGAGCCAAACTACAAACATCATGAACCAGCCCACCTAGGATGAACTCTAACTTTTTCATGTCGATATGCAGTCCATATACTGCTTCAACTGACACTCAAGGTGTCCTCGTGAAGAAGAATCGGAAAAAAGGAGCACTTCCAAGTTGATGACTTGAAACAAAAATATTTGATAAGTAATATGCATGGTTGAAAGTCTCGTTAGCATGTGTATAGGTCATCTAACAACTCTATGACATATATTCTTTAATATTTTCTTGTACGACAAATAGAAAGATTTGTGCCAAGCATTGTAAAGTGTAAAAAATTACCTGGTCCTCAACAAGGCCAGGATATAGTAATGGTTAAAGTAGCAGCCATTCCAGAATAGGGGCATTGACTTCCATTAATCTTGAAAACAGAAATAAAACTAAGTGAAGAATTTAACTATATAATTATAACTCTTGTGTATACTGAAGTGTCTTGCCCTTAATGATGATGCCTTCGTGAGTTTGAATAGATCTTGTACAAAGTTTGCTCCCTCAATTGTTACTTGCGTAGACAAAATAGGTCACCTATTGGGAAAGAGATTAATATTTTTCCATAACCTGAGATAAGCATGCGCCTGCTGCAATTATTTAAACAAGACTGCTCAAGAAGCCTTAGTCATTCCAATATTATGGAGAGGATCTCTCTACCAAAACAAAATCCCAAACAATGGACTTTAATTGTGGTAGGTTGAGCTGCTATGCATCATTTTTTTACTCCTCAAAAGTAATATTATTAATCATGGATCTATAGGTACTATTTGCTTATATGATGCCTAACACCTTAAATTTGCAGGTAGTAGGAGTCGATAACTTACTACTATTATTTATTGGGAGAACTAAGGGCACCAAAGCATACTCAGAAAGATATCTATTTAGAAGTGTTTTCTGCAAGAAAATTTGCCACATCATGGAATGTCTTAAGAGTCACAATTTCATGGGGTGGCTTACTGCCACGTTGAATCTTATCCAAATATTTTATTTATTTAATCTCCCACTAAAATTTATTAATTGCCTAATTATTCACATAATTAAAAATTATAGCATTACTTAAAATACTACTATTAAAATATTATAATATTAATAAATCATGGTACCATATAAAATCAATATACATTATTATTTCATTAAAACATCCATGTAAAAATAAATATATTTTCTCAACTTATAATTTTTCTGATCTCATATAAAGAGTACAAATTTTCGTACGCCTAATTCTTAAAATGTAAAAAGATAACTTTCTTTTCTTATGAGAAAATAATTTCTATCTTTGCAATAAAGAAAATCTCATAACTTACTCATATTATGTGAATAACTTAAAGCATATTCGAAAGTAGTAACATTAATAAAAAAATATAAAATCATACTTTTCAAACAATTTTTTTTTTTTACAAAAAAAGTTCCACTCAAAATACCATATCAAATATATACATAACGGTATCAAGGTTGTTAAACTTACGGAGTGTAACAAGAACTGATAGCATCTTTGGTAATTATGAATGGATGATACAATGGGGGCATCTCTCAACTATATATGAGTTGCCATTCATTTCTGATCATGCACCTATGAGTTTAACTTTCAATGACCATCAAGGAAGTAGGAAAACTCCATTCAAATTCTTTAATGTCTGGGCAGAGCATGAGAGGTTCTTATATGAAGTGCAGCAAATTTGGCAACAAAGATTTCACAGACAGAAGATTCAAGATGTGTGGATGAAACTCAAAGCATTGAGACCAGCACTGAGGAAACTCAATGTTGAGGAGTTTAAGTTCATTAGACACAAGATAGAGATAGCCAGAATTGAGCTTGAAAAGGTACAAAAAAAGCATTGATGCAAGTTGTTCTGAGGAGCTGCTGCTGAAAGAAAAGGAGTTGATTCAACATTTGGAGAAATGGGATACGATGGAAGAAGGAGCTTTGAAACAAAAGGCCAGAACAAAGTGGATACAGCTAGGTGATTCTAATACTAAATATTTCTCAGCTGTAATGAAAGAAAGGAGCCAAAGGAAGCAAATAGTGGAGCTGCAATCTATCACTGGCAGCAGAATAACTGATTCAGAAAGTATTAAGACAAGGTGATCCTATGTCACCTTTTCTTTTTGCCATAGCAATGGAGTACTTGAGTAGGAACTTGGCTAGTTTGAAGATGGAGAATGATTTTAATATCACCCTAGGTGTGCAAAGCTAGGAATCACTCACCTAAGCTTTGCTGATAATTTATTACTGTTTGCAGAGGTGATCTGAAGGCAGTTCAAGTAATGCAGCAGAAATTTCATCAATTCACTCAGGAATCAGGGCTACAAGCAAACCTCAGCAAAAGTGAAGCATATTTTGGAGGAGTTCCTTTGGAAGATAGACTACAAATGCTGCAGCTTTTGGGGCTTTCTAATGGTGAACTACCTTTCAAATACCTAGGAGTACCTCTATCTACTAAGAAACTAAGCATACTGCAATGGCAGCCCCTTATTGATAAAATGACTACAAGGATCACTTCATGGACTGCTAAGACCTTGTCATATGCAGGAAGAGTGCAATTAGTCCAAAGTTTTCTGTTTGGTATTCAGGCTTTCCGGGCACAACTGTTTATCCTCCCAACAAAAGTGATCAAGATTGTAGAGGGTCTATGTAGATCTTATGTATGGTCTGGTGCAAATAAAATCACAAAGAAGGCCCTACTGGCATGGGATAGAGTATGTCTACCTAAGGCTGGAGGTGGACTTAATATTGTTAATTTGAAGTTGTGGAACAAGGCAGCTATTGCTAAGAACTGCTGGGACTTAGCTCATAAACAAGATAAGCTGTGGATCCGTTGGATTCATACATATTACATTAAGAATCAGCAGTTGATCACAATGCTAATACCTCAGCAAGCTTGTTGGATGGTAAGGAAAGTGATAGAGGCAAAGAGCCACTGGAAACTAGCAATATGTCCAAACTCATAACAGAAGCTTGATCAAACAAATATACTTGCACTTGCTTGGTAATTACAATAGGGTGGAATGAAAAACTTTGATGTTTAACAATGCAGCAAGACCAAAGACAAAATTCATAATGTGGCTTATGCTACATGGGAGATTAATGACTTGTGATAGACCTTTAGCTGGAAGATTACTGTAGATACACAATGTGTAATGTGCAGAAAGGCAGTGAAAACTAGAGATCATCTATTTGGGTAGTGTGAATATGCTAAGCAAATTTGGAGTAAAATGTGCAGCTGGATCAAAAAGCAATATATGGGATTTAGTGATTGGCAACAGTTCCTTCAATGGTCAGTATTATGTGCCAAAGGAAAAACTCAGCATGCTCAGATCTTTAGAGTGGTCTACGCAGAGGTTGCTTATCACATTTGGATGGACAGAAACAGACGTATTTTTGAACAAAAAAGTAGAGTATGGAAGCAGATTGCATAAGAAATAGCCTATGTTGTTAGTGTTAGAGTTACTCCTAGAAATAAGTCTTTTGTATATAGTCTATGTTTCTAGGTAGTAGAGTATGAAATGTATATGGAAGGATAGCAAGTTGTGTTAGCTATGCTATAGTTTTTGTAATGTCAACTTGGTAATTAATAAAATAAGTTAGTTACCAAAAACAAACAAACACGAAATGGAAGATAAACTAACCTTTTGAAGAAGAACAATCATAAATTGGAAGCATCAATATCTTTCTGAAGGCTGTACGACCTAGGGTTTGCAAGTTAATTTGTTTTCTCTGTGTTTTTACTGAGCGATGATTCTAAATTGGGGTTAGGTAATGACTAAGAGAATTTAAGTTAGAGGGGCTCGAGTGGGTTGGTTAAAAGGTTTGGGTCCGCTAATTTTAATGAGATATGGGGCGGGTGATTTTAGAACAATAGGATAGTGACATGTGTATTTATTAATATCCTATTAATAAACTAATGGTTGAGGGGTATTTTAAATAGAAAAGTAAAACGACAGGGACTATAATAACACAAAAGTGAAACGGAGGGTATATATAGCTTATTTTTAATAGTAGAGGGGTATTTTAGGCCTTTAACCGAAATATCAAATATTCCACATTTCAATTCCAATCCAATTAGACGGGCAGCGGGCTATGTGAAAACTTTAAATATTCCGCTTTATTGGGATCCCTTCAGTTAGCTAATGAAATTCGTGTAACCTATAAATCACGTGTTGGAACCGTGAAAGCAGCCACTAATACTTGTATTAGGGCAGACTGTCTATATCATATCCCTTCAGGTGCGATCCTTCCTTGGACCAGCGCGAACACGGGATGCTTTGTGCACCAGGCTGACTCCAGCTTGAGATAAGAAAAGACAAGCCAACATTTTTTTTTTTTTTTTGCAGGTTCTATCAAAATCAATTTGGAGGACAGTGATGAACAGAATTGTCATCCGAAGATTTATGCATCTGATCCTAAATCCTTACTCCATATATGTTAGGATATGAAATTAAAATCATGCATAAAGTATTTAGAACATGATTGAATTTATTTTGCGTGCATTACACGAGTTCATTGCTAGTTATTTGATTATTTGTCTTCTATTCCAAGATGTGGTTATAGTACTTGAGAAAAGGGTTGAACTGGTTCCAAGAATTTATTAAAGTTAGTCTTGATTGTAGCTTGACATTTACACTGATAAATATCTTTAGCAGAAGGAATATTTGTATTGAAAGTGAGTCTTCTTTAGGCCATGAAGTCATCTATAAACTTTCTGGTTTCTTCAGGGCTTCACCAAACGATAAGAAAATGGCTAAAAGTAGGTCATATAGTGCAGATTCTGTAGAAACAATTGTGGATTATAGCGAGTCTTTTTAGAGCCATGAGATATCATCTTTTTAAGATGCAGATTCTGCAGAAATATCTCTAGTTTGTTTGTCCGGGGCGGCTCAAGCACATATGGGGCCTAAACCAAGGTTTAATGTGACACCTAATTTTTAAAAGAAAGTTATAAATTTTTTTTATTTGAAGTCTATTTTTTTAGCTTCTTGAGATACAAAGTTGTTAATAATTTTTTCTATTATATATTTCCTCTAATAATTTCTTTTCAATTGATAATATAACAAACTCATTTAATATTTCTTGAGACATTGTTGATCTTAGGCAAGATTTTATAGAGCAATAGAAGTATAGAACCATTGAAAGTTTAAAAATACTGTTGAACACTTGAACTAATAAAATCTTGGAGAAAGAATGTGAGTAATGAAATCTTGGAGAAAGAAGGTGAGTACTGAAATCTTGGCGAAAGAAGGTAAGTAAGAATATCAAAGCGAGGGATTTCTGTAATGTAAATAGATTAGGGAAAAGAAAAACTGACTTGGACAAACGAAAGAAGGGAAAATAAAAAATTTACATGTTATCTAACGAAGGAGTAAAATGTGGAATTGTCAAATCAACTCTAATTGAAACGTTGGGAAAACTATTTAGCTATCCATTTATAAGTAAGTTAAATTGTTACTTATTTATATATTTAAAATGTTTTCTTCCCTTCTATATGAAAAACTCAACTTTTATATTAACAACAACAACAGACCCAGTGTAATCCCACAAGTGGGAGGAGGATAGTATGTACGCAGACCTTACCCCTACCTTCAAGAAGGCAGAAAAGTTGTTTCCGAAAAACCCTCGGCTTAGGATCAACTTTTATATTAAAAATACAAAATATTATTCTTTAAATACCTATAAACCTATTTTTTTTTTTAAAATGGGCCTCCGAAATTTGGGGGCCTAAGTCACAAGACTTACTATTGATAACGTTAGAGCCAGTCCTAAATTTGCACACACCTTATCTTGAATAAGCATCAAGTCAATCAATCAACAACAACCAAGTAAAATCCCACCAATGGGGTCTGGGGAGGGTAGAGTGTATGCACACCTTACCCCTACCCCGGAGGGGTAGAGAGGCCGTTTCCGAGAAAATCTGTGAGCAACAATCTAGAAATAAAAGGTTTGCAATTACATTGCTATATTTCAGTTACATGCCAAGAAAATCAGTAACATGAATGTTAGCGATTAGGTATGGATGCTGCTCTGCAGATTTCACCTTTCAATAAGAGGAAAATGAGCTACCACCTCAAATTCTATTCATAGCCTCATCAAATTTCAAACACACATTACAATAAAAGGCTGCTATTTTTCTTCTTCAATTAGTTTCGAGGCTTCATTTCCTACTATTTAGTTCATAGAAAACTAATAATGCATTATTTACAATGTTGCCTACCAGAATGTAACGGAGACTCTCTGATACTCCTCGAATGATTGTAGCTAAGTTGTTGCATTCCGTCTAGTTTCTTCTTTCGCCTTCCTGATTGCATTAAGCGAGAATGATTTGATAATATAGCGAGATCATTGAGTTCTTGAAGCGGTGTAAGAGCCTTCACAACTTCATCCATTGTAGGACGAGATTTAGGATCCCTGCTCAGGCACATGTAAGCGAGCTGTGCGATCTTTTGCACCCCTTTAACGGAGTAATTTAACTCCAGCCGAGGGTCTACAAGTTGATAAAACTTTCTCTTGTCAGCTAAGTATGGCCTTGCCCATGCTACAAGATTTTGTTCTCCACTTGGGCGCTTTTTGTCCATTGATCTCCTACCGGTTAAAATCTCCAAGAGTACAACACCAAAACTAAAAACATCACTCTTTGATGTCAAATGTCCTGAGAAAATAGAAGACAGGTTTTGGTCATGTATCGACATTTTCAGAATACATTAAGCAGCGAGCTGTGGCGGAACCAAGTTTATTACAGGGATGTCAATTGACACTCCACGCAAAATTATACTATGTTGCTAGGTTAAAATTTTTTTTTATGCATATATACTATAAGTTGAATCCCTTTGGCTTTTTCATGTGTTGGCCAAACCAGATAGCCCATTTCCTCTCTTTTCTCGCTCCTCAAGAAACACGACTTAATTTTTCATATTTTGCTCCCTTTAGTGAAAATCTGGCTCCGCCACTGGCAGTGAGGACCTATTTACTCAACATATCTTGATCATGTTCCATTCAGATTAAGATACTTATGTTCCATTTTATAGACCATCATAGGATATTTATCCCTTATGTTCCTAGCAAATACCCTGAGAAATCCCAGCTAATCCTAAATACAAATTAAAGAAATTAATGAGAGCTGTTTACCTGTCATCACATATTCTGGAGCAGCATATCCATAAGTTCCGACAACCCTTGTAGAAACATGTGTTTTGTCACCTTGAGGACCAGCTTTAGCAAGGCCAAAGTCCGAAAGCTTAGCATTATATTCCTGCAGAATTTATATTAGTGTTGGAACCCAGGGGAAGTATTAGACGACATAATTTGAGATGTTCCTGATCACTTACCGAATCAAGTAAAATATTTGATGTCTTGAAATCTCTGTAAATGACAGGTTCAGGGCCTCCGTGGAGAAATGCTAAGCCTTTGGCTGCACCTAGTGCAATTTTTATCCTGTTGGACCACGGGAGAGGTATCGTCCCTATGAACAGTTTTAACAGACATCAGCAGTTGCATTTTAACTACAGAAGTACAAAATCAGAAAGAATAGGCTTGGATGTTCAGTTTTTTCGCGGTCTGCATATGTTAATAAGACCAAACGTTTCAAAACGCAACGAGATATCATAGAACTCACTTCTGAAAAGATGATTTTCAAGGCTTCCACGGGTCATGAACTCATAAACGAGCAGCCTTTGATCATCTTCAATACAGTATCCGATTAACTTGACAAGATTAGGATGATGAAGCTGTCCAAGGAAGTCTACTTCTGCCTGCATTAAATTCATCATGTTATTATCGATTGCATATACTTTCTTTACAGTCTGTGCTTACTCTATTCGACTCATTTTTTTACTACTAAGTACTAACCACGAGCAGATAGTCTACGTACTAACCACCCATTCTCTATGGCCTTGAAGACCATCTGGTTTCAAGCTCTTGACAGCAACCGTAATCCCAGAACCGGGCTTTGCTGGTGCTG